GAAGAACAGTCAGTGCTCTTAACCATTGAGCCATCTCTCCAGCCCCCTGTCAAGAATATAGAAAGAGAATTTAACAAAAGATTCAAGCAGTGTATTCACATGGTTCTTGTAAGCATTTTCAAAAAGAAAATGCAAGCATGATCAACATATTAGCTAGCGTTCTGTCCCTGTAGTGTAATACCTGAAGTATTACTTACAAATAAAAAGCTTTGTTCTCGCTCAGGGTTGTAGGTTTTAGTCTATGGTGGCCCCATTGCTTTAGGCCTATGGTAAGGCAGCAAATGGTCATGGGAGTGAATGGAAGAGCAAAATTACTCACATGGAGAACCAGGGACCAGAGAGCCGTGAACTGGGCCACGGTCTCAGAGTTTTCTTTGAGGGCATGCTCCCAAGGAGCCCACATCTTAAAGGATCTGCTACCTCCCAATAGAGCCATTCTGGGGTCAAGTCTTTCCCCATAATCATTTTAAGAACATTTAGCATACATACTTGCCAGCCAGGAAGCATATAAATGTAATCAGTTTTGAGATACACGTAAAGACCACAAGGAAATATCACTTTATTCCCATGTCTGTTATTAAAAAGGGGGTGGGGGTGCGGAGATGGCTCAGTTGCCAAAGTGCCTGCTTCACTAGCATGAGAACCTGAGTTTAAATGTCCAGCACCCATGTAAAAAGGTACAGCAACATGTCTGTGAGCACAGCAGTCACTGGTAGCGAGGTGAGGGGCCTAGGTGGGTCCCTGGCGCTCATTGGTCATCGAGCCTAGTAGATGAATGAGCTGTAGGTTCATCAAGAGACCCTGTCTCAAAAAATAGGAAGAGTAGGCTGGGAGTGGTAGCATATGCCTGTAACCCTAGGAGAGGTAGAGGCAGGTGGATGTCTGTGAGTCTGACGCCAGCTTGGCCTTCATAATGAGTTCCAGGCCAGCCAAGGTTATATAGTGAGATCTTGTCATATAAATAGATAAATATTTGTCTGGCTTCCATATACACAAATACACACTCCCCCCAACATACATATAAATCACACAATGATGGGATTAGAGGGAATATATAGTATGTTCCCAGTCGAGGAGTCAAGAAGAATGGATCTGGGCATAGGACAATGGGGGTGGGGATTAGTAGCTAAAAGGCTCCACTGTGGCACCTGCTGTGTGGGAGTTTGATTGCCATTAGCCATGTTGCCCATGTGAGAAAGCTGAATCATTGGTTTATGACAGAGATGGGCTTGAAACTCAGGGCCTGCAGCTCAGATACTTTACCCCTCGGTGCCTCTCAGCAAAGGCTGAGTTGTAGCTTATTTAGGCTTTGGTGTTATGGAGCTGTATGGATTTCAGATGCTTCAACATTGGTATGATGTGTTAGACATTTGGCCTTTCAAATTTATAAAACTTAGAAAGTCTGGGAACTAGAGGAGTGGCTCCACGGTAAAGAGGGCATACCGCTCTTGCAGAGGACCCAAGTTCAGTTTCTAGCACTGATAGCGTGGGTTACACTGCCTGTAACTCCAACTCCAGGAGACCAGATGCCTTCTTCTTTGTGCATCCTCTGTTCTGTGTACACTTATAGCATGCCATACACATAGACATGAGTACATATACATAAACAAAAACTAAAAATACCCCAGTAACTCAGAAAGTCTCTTACGCCTTACTGTTGTTTAGTTTTTGTTTGTTTTTTTTGTTTTTTTGTTTTCTTTTTTTCCAAGACAGGTTTCTTTGTGTAGCCTTGGCTGTCCTGGAACTAGCTCTGTAGATCAGGCTGTGGCCTTAAACTCACAGAGATCTGTCTCTGCCTCCCAAGTGCTGGGATTAAAGGCGTGCCCAGCTTGTTGTTTAATTTTTATATGTTGGCTTTTCCCGCTAGATTTAAAATTCCCAGGACTTACAGTTTTACTTTTTGCATGTACAAATTTGGTACCGACTAGGTAGATAATGGGGTTTAGCGGTCTCAGATCATACGGCGCCAGGGTGGCAGCCGAAGCAGGGTCCATATTTCTCACTGCCTTTACTGGGGTAACTTCTCCCTCCTCCTCACCTTGTGCCATATCAAGGATGGCTCAGGGGCAAGCAGGACTGTTCTGTGTTACAGGTACACATGGCATTCAGAGATGTGGCTGTGGATTTCTCCCAGGAGGAGTGGAGCCTGCTGAGCCCTGCTCAGAGGTCCCTGTACAGAGAAGTGATGCTGGAGAATTACAGCAACCTGGTGTCTCTGGGTAAGCGCTCTCTCTCGCAGGACTCACATTCTCCATTAGTGCATATATACCTGGTCTCTGGGTAAGCGCTCTCTCTCGCAGGACTCACATTCTCCATTAGCGCATATATACCTGGTCTCTGGGTAAGTGCTCTCTCTCGCAGGACTCACATTCTCCATTAGCGCATATATACCTGGTCTCTGGGTAAGCGCTCTCTCTCGCAGGACTCACATTCTCCATTAGTGCATATATACCTGGTCTCTGGGTAAGCGCTCTCTCTCTCTCTCTCTCTCTCTCTCTCTCTCTCTCTCTCTCTCGCAGGACTCACATTCTCCATTAGCACATATATACCTGGTCTCTCTGGGTAAACGCTCTCTCTCGCAGGACCCCCATTCTCCATTAGTGCATATATACCTGGTCTCTGGGTAAGTGCTCTCTCTCGCAGGACTCACATTCTCCATTAGTGCATATACACCTGGAATTTTAGGCTGTGCTTTGCAGCAGCCACCTTACAGTTTGGCTTGACCTTTGGGTTTGATATGAGCAAAGAAGTTTTGTTCTTTGCTTTCCTAGGGAAGTCTGGTTTTGCAGAGTTGAATGTGACTAGGAGACCGTGCATGCCTGTGTAGTTGTACTCTGTAATCTCTAAGCTTTTCCCTCCAGTCTGGAGCTCTTTCTTTCCCTATGCTAACTTCTTTTAAATATGACAGGTATGTTAGACTTTTCATTTTTGTGACAAATACCCAAGAAAACAACTTAAAGGGAGGGATTACTTTTTGTTTTTATTTTTGAGGCAGGGTCTCTACATAGCACTGACTGTCATAGAATTCACTACATGGACTAGGCTGTCCTCATACTTGTAGAGATCCATTTGCCTCTGCCTCCCAGTGTTGGTGTTAAAGGCAAGCACCACCATGCTTAGAAAGAGGACTTATTTATTTCGGCTCACAGTTTCAGTCTGTCATAGTATGGGGCTTGATAGATCACAGCATATACTTCATGGCAGTCAGGAAGTTGAGAGGGTGTGGGCAAACCTGTGTGTGTGGACTTTCTTTCATCTCTATTCCATTCAGGCCCAGCTTGTGGGGCGATGTCACCCGGTTTCAAAGCAGGTCTTTCTTCCTAGTGAGTCCTCTCTGGAACCCCTCACAGACAGTCTCAAAGGTACACTTTACTGATCTTCTAGGCATTTCTTTACCTAGTCTGGTTGACAGTCAAGATTCACTTTGAGTTTTGTCCACCCAGCATGGAGTATAATCAGTGTATCCTCATCTGAGTTCACTGTCCTGCTAATCTCAAGGAACTGTTAACCTTGGCACTGCCCCCTGAAGCTCCTTCCTCAGTCTTTGCTTTTTGAGTCCAAACACCAAGTCAGAGTTCCCTCCACACCCTAACCTAACCTACAGCCATTCTGTTTTCTTTTCTGGTGAGCAGGAATTCCATTTTCAAAACCAAAACTCATCACCCAGCTAGAGCAAGGGAAAGAAACATGGCAAGAGGAGAGGAAATGTCCACAGGTGGCTTGTCAAGGTGAGTGGAAAAGGCCTGGGCATATGGGATACAGGGCTGTTAGTGGCCCAGGATGCTGAAGAGAAGAGGTAGTGATGAGGAACTGGAGTAGTCTTTGTCCCTTGGGGCCACCCTGTCTTCACACAGGAGCATTCTCCGTGTCTCTTGTCTCTTTTTCTTAAAGCCTTTTGGCTTCCTGCCTCTGCTTTCTTTCTGAGTGCTGGAATTAAAGTCATGCACCACCATGTATGACTGTGTTTTTGAAATTTAAACATTTAATTAGTATTGATTAAATCTGTATAAACTATAAATACAGGAGCACCTGTAGATTTAAGGTATTTTATTAGCTAATTCATTGAACTGATCATTGTGTCAGTTTGTCCCCAGACTAAATAGTCCAGAGTGTACACATAATGGCAGATTCACAGTCAATGGAACAGATCATTCAGTGGAAAATTGAAATTTTGCTTTCCGGTTTTTTCACCACTCCATATAGATGTTAAAACAATGTTGAAATTTCTTTGAAGGAGCTAATTTAATTCTGAATTGTGTTGACTGCAAATAAAAGCGTCACTTTGTGTGTACCCACAGAAGTTAGAAGACTCTAACTCAAGTTGCTGGCCATAGATAGAAACACAGAGTCAGCTGTGTTGTGTAACACCTCAGGTTAGACAAAATTAAGTTGGTAAAAGCAGCCAGGCTTCAGATACACTCAAGGAACAGGCCTGCCGCACTGCTGGTTACCTAGTCAGGGTGATCCATAGTAGTGGGGCTGGGGAGGGATGGGCATCAGGTTGGATCAGTGGCTCCCAGACTGTCATTCACACCTGTATTGACAATCAGTGGAGCTGCTGCTGGGAAAGAATTGCACCTAGGTGCTGGAAAGATGACGCAGCAGTTAAGAGTTGTCCTTACTAAGGACCCAGGTTCAATTCTCAGCTCATAATCACTGAACTCTACAGGTACCAGACACACGTGTGTTGCACATACATATATGCAGACAAAGCATTTATACACATAAAAATTTTAATTAAAGAATTGCACTTAGTTACTTATGAGACATTGAAAGATAAAAGGAAAGGTGTTTCTTTAGTAGTCTGCCATGTAGAAAGAGTAAAGGACTTGAATGTTAGCAAAGGGTGGTTATGCTTACTTTAATAATTAAGACAATTATTCTAATTATGCTAATTCAGTTATAACTGAAAACTGCATTTGGTATAGGGTAGAATAATGTAATTCTGGTAACTGTGATTGTTCATTGGCTAAGAAAAAAAGTGTTTATGTAGATTCGGTAAGATCTGTACTAATTGCTCCAATTGGTTGCTCCATTGGTTGCCCTCAGCTGGCCAGAACCCGCACTGATTAAACAGTACAATAGGTACATTGTTGAGAATTGTTTTGGGGGGTTTTGTTTTGGATTCTTTTTAACTTTCAATTGTTGTTTGATGTTTGTTGGTCTTCTCAGGACCTATCCCTTCTTTGTCATAAACTATGTCTCTGCTGGTAGACCCATGTTGAAGGTTGTCTTTTGATTCTGTTGTTGTCACTTAGTCAGTGTGTTCCATAGTTTTGTTTTAGAAACATGATTTTGCTGTGTAGTCCCACTGGTATTAAACTCAATGTCTGTATCATTCAAATTCATGATCCTCCTGCCTCAAATTCATGATCCTCCTGCCTCAGCCTACCAGTCTTTCCTCTCTCCCTCAGTTTCCCCTCATGTTTTCTGCCTGCCTGATTGCCTGTCTGTCTCCCTGTGGTTCTAGGGATCAAAGCTAAGGTTTGTGAGATCTGGGCAAGAACTCTTATCACTCAGCTGTATTTCTAGGCAAGTACTGTATCACTCAGCTATATTTCTAGGCAAGTACTCTATCACTCAGCTATACTTCTAGGCAAGTACTCTATCACTCAGCTGTATTTCTAGGCAAGTACTCTATCACTGAGATGTATTTCTAGCCTCCAGGTTTATTGTTTGCACTGATTCTTGGGGACATTTTTATTTAAAATAATTCTGGAAATTATCAGGACTTAGAGGTTGGTAAGGGGCATCTTTAACAGTACTGGGGAACCTAGGCTATGGTTGTGCTGTTCACTGCTGAGGGCTTACGGCCTTGTAGAAATTCTAACAGAGTAGTTTGCTGATAAAGTGTTTGTCAAGTAGGGAGACCCCAGTTTACATGTGTCGTGCACATTCTGTTTAACCATTCTTTATTTGTTTGTTGGAGTGGGGCATTCATGTGCTATGCCTCACATATGGAGGAGTTCTCTCCTACCATGTGTGCTTCAGATTTGATGGCAAGCACCTTGAGCTGCTGCGTCATCTTGGCTACTCACTCTTTTTCCTGTGCTGTCTTGCACTAAAGGTGGGATGATGCTTTCTCAGCCCTTGTGCTTGATCCTCCAGAACATTAGGAGGGATGTTTCCACATGGGTCTTGTTAATAGCTCTCTGTCAAAAGCACAGCTACCCAGTACACAGTGGACATAGTTCCTGTCTCAGTGTGGTGCGAGTCAGTTAACGGTAGTAGTAACTGTGTGGAGACTCGTGTATTGGCCTGATTCACACATCTGAGGCTTTTTATAGCCTCAAGTCTGTAGTGCTTACCTGGATGTAGTAGGAGTTGTAAGATGTAGTGATGGGCTGGGAAGGAAGTCACGTAGAGGAAGTCGTGGTGGGGTGGCACTAAGGACAGCTTAGGTAGGATTGTCTGGGCCATCCCTATAAGGACTCCATCCTGACTCATTCTTTTCTCTGCAGCACAGGCAAAGCTGGAACTCTGCCCCAGTCCTGTCTGCCCTCCAGATCCCACCAATCAGAAACTCCCAGGGCAGCATGGACTGAGTGATCGTACCCCATGGATCTTCACATGCCTGTGTGCAAAGCATCACGTTGACGAAGGGGACTCCTGTCATGGGGCCCAGGAAGAGCAGCAGCAAGCCTCTAATAGGAACTCCTGCAGAGATAAACCAGAAGGTGGAGAGCGAGAAGGTGCCAGGCCTTCATCGAGGAGGATAAAGAAAAGGAGTTTGGGAGCCCTCTCCAGGGCACCCCAAAGGCAGCCAGTCAGCTCTCGGAATGGCATCAGTAGGGTAGGGATGGAGGCTAGCCCAGCTCAAGCTGGGAGCACTGAAGAACCCGAAAAGTTGCTGAAGCAAATAGAATTCTTGGGATTTGGAACTGTCAACTGTGGAGAGTGTGGGCTGGGCTTCCGCAAGATGACAAACCTGCTTAGTCACCAGAGGATCCATTCAGGAGAGAAGCCGTATGTGTGTGGGGTGTGTGAGAAGGGCTTCAGCCTAAAGAAGAGCCTTGCCAGACACCAGAAGGCACACTCTGAGGAAAAACCCATTGTGTGCAGGGAGTGTGGGCGAGGTTTTAACCGGAAGTCAACACTCATCATTCATGAGAGGACACACTCGGGTGAGAAGCCTTACACATGCAGTGAGTGTGGACGAGGCTTTAGCCAGAAGTCCAACCTCATCATCCATCGGAGGACTCACTCAGGGGAGAAGCCTTACGTATGCAGGGAGTGTGGCAAAGGTTTTAGTCAGAAGTCAGCTGTTGTGAGACACCAGAGGACGCACTTAGAGGAGAAGAGCATTGTGTGCAGTGACTGTGGCCTGGGTTTCAGCGACAGGTCAAACCTCATCTCCCACCAACGGACACACTCAGGGGCAAAGCCGTATGCCTGCAAGGAGTGCGGGCAGTGCTTCAGGCAGAGGACAACCCTTGTCAATCACCAGAGGACTCACTCAAAGGAGAAGCCTTATGTGTGTGGCGTCTGTGGGCACAGCTTTAGCCAGAATTCAACGCTCATCTCCCACAGGAGGACGCACACTGGGGAGAAGCCGTTTGTGTGTGGGGTATGTGGGCGACGCTTCAGTTTAAAGTCCCACCTCAACAGACACCAGAACATTCACTCAGGGGAGAAGCCCATTGTGTGCAAGGATTGTGGTCGAGGCTTCAGCCAGCAGTCAAACCTCATCAGGCACCAGAGGACACACTCCGGCGAGAAGCCCATGGTGTGTGAGGAATGTGGACGAGGTTTCAGCCAGAAGTCAAACCTCATCGCACACCAGAGGATCCACTCAGGAGAAAAGCCTTATGTGTGCCGAGACTGTGGGCGAGGCTTCAGTCACCAGGCAGGGCTCATCAGACACAAGAGGAAGCACTCGAGGGAGAAGCCATACGTGTGCAGGCAGTGTGGACTGGGCTTTACCAACAAGCCAGCTCTGATCACACATAAGCGGGCACACTTTGAAGAGAGGCTCTGTGTGTGCGGGGAGTGTGGCCAAAGCTTTATCCACAAGTCCCACCTCGCCTTACACCAGACGACACACCAGCGGGAGAAGACTTACACCTGCAGGACCTGTGGACAAGGCTTTAGACAAAGGTCTCACCTTAGCAGACACAGGAAGAAGAAATGTGCCCACCACAAACTGCCCCTGCAGCCTGACCCTGAAGCCTGTTTGGGGCAGTCGTCTGACCCCTTCTATTCTCTTTGAAAAGGAAGATGATGGAAAGGATTCATTGTCAAAAATTCTTACACTTCCATGAAGTAGAAAAATGCACTTCAGAAAACCTATGGACAGTAACTTAGCCTACTTCCTTTCCAGTCTCATGTTGTGTGGCCTTTTGTCTAGTAAAATTTGCTTCTTTACAAATTTGCAGCCTGGTCTGTGATTCTCACTCTCTTAGGAAATGGTCCATTCAGGGATCTTGAACTCACTGTTCACAAAAATCCATTGTTAAAAGACATGGTCTTGTTGTGGTTATTTTGTTTGTTTGTTTGTTTGTTTTTTGGTTTATCGAGACAGGGTCTCTGTGTAGCTTTGGAGCCTATCCTGGCACTTGCTCTGGAGACCAGGCTGGCCTCGAACTCACAGAGATCTGCCTGCCTCCGAGTTCTGGGATTAAAGGCGGGCGCCACCAACGTCCGGTTTAAAAGACAAGGTCTTAAGGCCTCAGAAAGATTAAGTTTGTGGCTCAGCAGCCACTCAAAGTGGTTTCAGTGATTATTAAGGCAATCATTCCATAACATTTTGATGCCTCGACCAGAGAGTCTTGTTTTGAGATCTTTGTGGAAGTGGTTTTATCTACTGGAATGAAATTTCGTTAAAAGTGTAGGAAACCCAACAGAAATACCACTGAAGAAATCGGATTTTCCTTTTCATTCAAATTCACTTAAAAAAAATTTTTTTTTTCTTTCAAGACAGGGTTTTTCTGTATTGCTTTGGAGCCTGTCCTTGAACTCACAGAGATCCACTTGCCTCTGCCTCCTGAGAGGTGCCACCACCACCCAGCCAAAACTTGTTTTTATACCTAAATGTAGCCACCCAATTTTTAAAAGATGGCCCAGAAACACGGGTTTTTTTTTTTCTTTTTAACTTTATGTATTTAAGTGTTTTACATCCATATATCACATGCATGCTTGGAGCTCTTGGAGGCCAGAAGAGGACATCAGATGCCTTAGAACTGGAGTTACAGATGGCTGTGAGCCACCATGTGGATGCTGGAAATTGAACCTGGTTCTCTGCAAGAGCAGTGTCTGTACTTAACCTCCAAGCCATCCATCGCCTTAGCCCCTTACTTCAGTTTTCATCCAAATTCCAATACTAGGATTATCTGGATAAAATAGCATACTATATTCCTTTCAAAATGCTCTTGAAGTTAGGACTTTTCATGCAAATTCACTAATTCTTACAGTCTTTAGGAAATAATTATTCTATATTTTAAAAAAAAACCCAGGTGTGTGATTTTTCTCATACATTTTCTTTAAGTTTTTTTAGTGTTCATAGATTATACGCTATAATATTTTACAAACTGTCAAGAAATAAATGGTTCATATCAATCCACTCAAGTGTAGGTTTTTGGGGAATACAAGTGTGTTGTCAGGTTTCCCTTTGGGTGCTCAAGAAACAAATGAAAATCCAAATTTATGTAAATAATGGGGACTTAGGGGAGGGAAAAACCGTATTTCTTCCCAGACTCCCTGGAAATGTGGTATTTTCATTTATATCTGCTCAAGCATGGAGGCTTATAGGAAGTAAACTAAGATATCCAGAAGACAGCGCCAGGCAGTGGTGGCGAACGCCTTTAATCCCTGCACTTGGGAGGCAGAGGCAGGTGGACCTCTGTGAATTTGAGACCAGTCTGGTCTATAAGAGCTAGTTCCAGGATAGCCTCTAAAGCCATAGAGAAACCCTGTCTTGAAAAAAAAAGATATGCAGATGTAATTTCTTATCAAATTCACTGAAATCATGTTTTTTTTTTGTTACATATCCTTTGCAAGAGTTTTCTTCTAAATGTCATTGAAGTATGATTTTCCAGTTAAATTGTCTCAAATAGAGAAGTCTTGGGAAATAATTCTTATGCCTGAATTTTCTTCCAGTGTAGCTTAAAGACTTTATAGTTCCTCCAAATTCCTTTACTTGATGAGTACTGGAGTGGGGTAGGGGAATAAGTAGTAAGAAAACACTTGTTACATTTTGTAACTTCCTAACTAATAAGACATGAGATCTGCACCATATTTTCTCCACAATGGCTCCTAAACATGATTTTTCAATTCCAAATTCAGACTAGTGTGAATGTTTGTTTTGTTTTGTTTTCCCCCATATTAGTTCTTTGCTGTCTTTTCTTCCAAAAAGTACAGGTTTTTGTTTGCTTGTTTCTTTTTTGTTCAAAACTTTTTTTTTTGTTCAAGGTGATTAAAAAAGATAACCTTTCACCTAAACTTGCCAGAAGTGAAATTGTGGGCACAAGTGAATGCCATATTGTCCCCTCTGAATGATTTAAGAAACTTTATGTCTGCCAGGTGGTGGTAGCACATGTCTTTAATCCCAGCACTCAGGAGGCAGAGACAGGCAGATCTCTGTGAGTTCAAGGCCAGTCTGGTCTACCAAGAGTGCTCCAGGACAGACTCCAGAAGGTACAGAGAAACCCTGTCTCCAAAACCAAAACAAAAAACAAAAAAACCAACAACAACAAAAAAAACCCAAAACTCACCACCACCAAAAGCTAAATAGTTCATGCACAGAAACCTTGAAAAAATTGACACTCTGAGAATGCAATAGTTGAGGGATTTTTCCTTTATTTAGATTTTATGCTGTTTTAGTTTCTTATCACACACACGGAATGTTGATGAGATAGCCGCTTGTCTGCACAGGGTAAGCAGTGAGCCATTCTGCTGAGATGGGAATGTCCATCTCCACTGTACACATGTCTAAGAGGCAAAACCCGCACCAGCATTTCTCATCTCACAGCGCATACAACCAAGATAGTGACTCATTTAGAAATTTTCTGACATATGCATTTTCATTTGAGCACAATCTTATATCAGAAAAGAACTGTTCTCCAAACTTAATAGCCAAGATATCTATTTTGCAAAGCTGTTCTTTAGGCTCACTGACCGTTCAGAAAACCATAGAGTGAATTTTCCCAACTATTTCCCAAGAACCCACCTGTGCCAGGAGCTATCATTAAATGTAAGACTTATAGTCTTGGGAATGGAGGTTGGGTGTGTAGGCATGCAGGTACAACATTGTGTTGGTCAGCTTTTCATCACTACAACACAATACCCGAGTTAATCAACTTATAAACAAAAAGTTGTGTGTTGATTCACAGTTTTGAACATTCCAGTCCATGATCATTTGGTTCCATGCCGTTGGGCATGTGGCAAGGCAATACATCATACCAGAACAAAATCGTTCACTGCATCACCAGGAAGCAAACGAGAATGAGATCCCACAAGTCCCTTCAGAGACCTGCCTTCAACCACTAAAAGGCATCTCACGAATCCACATTTCTTAAAGGTTTATTCTTGGGACTCCACTCTTCTCACCCATTCTCCTAGGTGAACTTCAAGATTTGGTCAACTTAGTGGTCAAACCACTTTGAAATGAAAAGACACCTTCAGAACTTTGGCTATCAGGAACATAACACAGAAACAACCAACCCACATGGTCACGTCACTGAAGGGAAACAGACTATTTGTACTGACATGTCACAGTTAGACACAACCAAAAATCCTCTTTCAACATGTTAACTTTGAGGAAATGCAAGGATCACCAACTCTTCAATGTCTGTCATGCGGATGACCCGGATAGGCAGGGAGGTGCAGCCTTGCTCCTTCCCTACAGGGTACCAATGGTACATGGTGGATGAGCTGGCCTAAGTGCTGCCTACACTTTAAAAAGATTTGCATTCAATGGATCTAGAGCACATGGAAGGCCTGTGTTCACTGCTGTTGACCTACGCACAAAAGCTGGATTGTCCAGACTCTCAGACTGATAATCCATTTTTGTGGCTATTATCTTAGCCCATCACTTTGGGTAACCTGAATCTAATTCAAATCTACAGACTGCATACTGCAAAAAATATCAACCAAGAAAACCTCCTGGGTTCTTAAGTAGATACAGAGATCTGGAGATGGAAAGATCCAGACTGGGCCAAAATGGTAACAGATTAAAAACTATGAAGTACTTTACTTCAGTGGTTGCTGGAGACAATTCACTGGCTGTTAGTGAATACAGTTTCTGTTTCAACCTGATAAATTCAACTTTGCAAAAGATGGAGGACTTTGGAGGAGTCCAAAGCAATCAGCCTGAGACCTTCAGGTGCTTCTTGTGAGGAATGGGCTACATACTGTCTTCCAGCATGAGCCAGCTCACTGCACTATGAATTTAGCTAAATATCAAACAATGGAGGCTGTGAAGATGTCCCATTAGTTGGCCTGTCTCCACCAATCAGTTAAGAACTCAAGACTCCTCTGAGTGCACTAATGCTCTAGACAGACACCAGTTGGAAGAAGTATCCTACTGGACAGATGTTGCTCCCTTGAACCATGCAAGTCCACTTTCTGCCCTTGCTCCTCCAGTGCTGTATCTAAGATTGTTTTATGCCAACTCAGTGAGTGTGCCAGCACATATGTCTGAGTGGGAATAGTCCCATGGTTTTTAGGCAAGCTTTCTTATAGCACCTCTGCAATAGATCGGGGACTTTAAACCACCCTCTGTTCTGTTTTCAAGGGACACACACAGAACAGAAATCCAGGCAGAGGATTTTGCTTTCAACAAGATTTGTAGAGTCACTGCCAGCAAAAGTAGCTCTGGGGGATGGGGGAATCATAATTACTACTGGGCCACTGATTGTGACCAACTGTGTCACCTGTGACACAGAGAAAAAGGCAAGAAAGAAGCCACTCCCCCATCCAAGCAGACTCATATATACTATTATTAAGTAAAAGAGATACAGCTGCTGGAGGCCCACCAACAATGTTCTGATACAATGAGAAGTTTTCTCCAAAGGACAGGCTAAGCACTAGGCTCTTTTTGCCTAGGAAGGTCAAAAACAAAACACCTGTAAAACTGCAGTCAGAGAAGCATCTGCTACTATTTCCCAGATGTCCATACATCTGTAGGAAGTGCCTCCCAGGTCTCTTACAGACAGTGGCTCTCCTTCCCTGATGGATGTCCTGAACATCACATCAAGAGGATATGAATCGAGGGAAGAGGAATAGCCATTAACACAGTGTCACGCTGAGTAGGCGTAGTCTTGCTTTCAGCAGACTTAGCAGAATCTAAGTTACACTGACATGGAACCCATTCCTAGGAACACACATGGGAAGTCCCCTGTGTAGGAAAGAAAGAGCCATCTACAAAGCTCTCAT